CGACGTCTACCTTCAGTCGTGTCTTTATCGATGAAGTCCTCTGTCGATTCGGTGTGCCCGACCGTCTTCTCTCCGACCGCGGATCAAACTTCGTCTCCGAACTGGCCACGACGATGTATGCCACGCTAGGCATCAACAAGCTGGCGTCTGCGGCCTACCACCCTCAAGGACAAGGTCTAGTCGAACGGTTCAACCATACGATCATTCAGATGCTCAAGATCTATGTGAATGACCATCAGACGGACTGGGACACCTATCTACCGCGCCTGCTCTTTGCGTACCGCACGTCGCACCACGAAACTCTTGGCGACTCCCCCTATTTTTTGCCTCTTTGGACGAGACCCCACGCTGCCGTTGGACTTGGCGTTTATGAACGCCGAGCCCTCCTGGAAGTTCGACGACTTGCCCCAATATAAGCGTCGTCTGGCCGCATCTTGGAATGAGACCCGAAACCTCGTGGAACAACAACTGTTCAGCGGTCAAAACAAGAGTGCAAGGACAAAGGCTAACCAAAAACACATCGAGTTTGGCGAACAGACAGCCGTCTGGGTCTACAAATATTTCGCCAAGTCGACTCGACCAGACGATCATCGGACGACTAAGCTAGCTACGCATTGGCATGGACCCTTCCGAGTCGAACGCAAAATGGGACCGAACACATACAAGATCGACATACCATCACACCCCGACAAGATGGTAACTGTGAACGTCGACCGACTCAAGCCATTTCGGGGCTACAATTCACGACCGTTCGACGACGAGATCCCCGAAGCGGACGTAGCTTCCGACGAATTGTCGATCGACTGCCTACCCTCGTCCAGCTTTGTGGAACGAGTTTCCTTTCCAGATGACGATGTTGCTTACTCATCTACCTCGTCGCCGATTTTCCGGGTAGTCGACCTGCGACGTCTACCTAACTCCCGCGAAAAGGAATACTTGGTCGAACATGCCGACGGCCTTAAGTATTGGATGGCTGATTCCAAACTGACTACTTACCAATCATTTGTGGACGACTTCGAAACATCTCGACGAATGGACATGGGATTGCCTCCACTTCGGCGTTCGAAACGGTACAAAGACCTCGACTTGGAACCCCAAACGCTGGTTCAGTTCTAGACTACCTCGACAACAAGGACATGCAGATCAAAGCCAAATGAATTACTGAATACGCTTTACGACGGCCCCACTAACGATTCTTTAACGTCACCCCTCGAACGTCGACAGGCTCACCTCCCAACACGTCAGTATTATCCACGGGCTGCCCTGTACTTAACCGCACCGCCTTTGCCCTACCCAGAGAACCACAAATCGACGATCTTACCAACGGGCCGAAGTCAACTCATGGTTGCCGCTGATTGGCTGCCTGACTGAGTGATGGATGGAGACTACAGTCAGTTCCCGTCTGAAGATTGTTGTCCGACGGACTATTCTGACCGACTATTCCCTTGTTTTCCGACCTATTTCGTCCAATCATCTGCCCAGTCTGCGATATTATGTCCGTCCAGTCTGAGACTACCAGCACCTGGTCCCGGGTGCCGTCGTACATTTTGTCGTGGCCTCGTCGTACCGAACTCCATGACCACTCATTTTCACGC